TATTAGGTGTCTTTCTATAACAAATTGTTGTTTGCAGTCTGGCCGACTACCGTCAGGAGCTCTGGGAATGCACTTTGCCTAATGGACCTGTCGCCTTGGCTGGTTCCCTCTCCCAGCCCATCTGTTCCTCCTCCCCAGCAGACAGCACACGGCTGCTTCTGTGACAGCTCGGTTATCACCTCAGGGTTGCAGCCCCTTGGGGGTTGGGGAGAAAACTCCAAAGCAGAACAGATCTGGCACAACCGGAAGAGGCTGGCTGTTGGTGGGAACCCTCTCTGTGTCTGCCTTTCCCTCACAACGTGGCCGGTCATGGTGTGGACTCTTGCTGAGTAAACCACTAACACCCTCCACTCAGTGCCCCCGGACGCCAGGCCTTGCGTAAACTGTTGTAGGCAGTCCTCCCTGCAGCCGCCAGGAGGGGGCAGTGTGGCTGTCCCCATCCCACAGGTGAAGGGGAGGGTGACTTGCTCAGGGCCTCGCAGCTTTGGCTCATGAGGCAGGGGGTGTGTTGGTACCCAGTTCCTAAGCTCACCGAGGCCTGTCGGGGACCATGGAGGGCCTGCCTGACTGCCCCCTCCTCTCTCAGTCCCCCCCCTACAGCTCAGGGAGCTACGATTCCATCAAGACCGAGGTCAGTGGCTGCCCCGAGGACCTGACTGTGGGCCGAGCTCCCACAGCAGATGACGACGACGACGACCACGATGACCACGAGGACAATGACAAGATGAACGACTCCGAGGGCATGGACCCTGAGCGCCTCAAGGCCTTCAACGTGAGCACCGGGTCGGTCCGGCGGGCGGGGCCGCAGCCAGGCCAGCCCTCCCCACCGCCTGTCTCTCCCACAGATGTTTGTGCGTCTCTTTGTGGACGAGAACCTGGACCGCATGGTGCCCATCTCCAAGCAGCCCAAGGAGAAGATCCAGGCCATCATCGAATCCTGCAGCCGGCAGTTCCCCGAGTTCCAAGAGCGGGCCCGCAAGCGCATTCGCACGTACCTCAAGTCCTGCCGGCGCATGAAGAAGAACGGCATGGAGATGGTGAGCCCTCCCAGCCCAGCCCCCCCACTCACCTCCAGCTACCCTCCGGGATGGCTGGGCGTCCCCTTGGCCAGACACTTTACCCATCATCCTCCCAATGTCCCAGGAGCCGCACCATGATCCGTTTCACAGCGTGGGGAGCTGAGGTCCCTAAAGAGGCCCCGCTCCATAGATAACGGCCCTGAAGCCTGACCCCGGCCCTCCACCAACACCTCTAGGGCAGGGTCTCTGTGTGGGCCCAACACTGCCCTGTTCCCATTCTGCCTGCAGACCAGACCCACACCTCCCCACCTGACCTCAGCCATGGCCGAGAACATCCTGGCAGCTGCCTGTGAGAGCGAGACGAGAAAAGCAGCCAAAAGGATGCGCCTGGAGATCTACCAGTCCTCGCAGGTACTGCTCGCTGCCGCCACTGTCAGGGGGTTGCTTCCGGGCGGGCGGACATCAGTCATTCCACAGACATTGGGGCCCCCAGTGCAGAGGGACCAGGCGGACCTACCAAGAAGGCAGCAGTGATGGAGTGGGATGGGGAGAGCTTGGGCACCCAGGCCCTGCAGACCCAGGAGGGCATCTGGGCTTCATCCCGAGGGCCCTGCGTGAGACGACCAGGGATGGAAACAGTCCTGCAGGACACAGCACTGTGTCTCAGAAACTCTTCATCCACCCCGTCCGGCTTGCTGCCCCTCTGGTTCCTCAGTATCTCCCTCCCCCCTGCAGGACGAGCCCATAGCCCTGGACAAGCAGCACTCCCGGGACTCTGCAGCCATCACCCACTCCACCTACTCACTGCCAGCCTCCTCCTACTCCCAGGACCCCGTGTATGTCAATGGCGGCCTCAACTACAGTTACCGCGGTTACGGGGCTTTGGGCAGCAACCTGCAGCCCCCTGCCTCCCTGCAAACAGGAAATCACAGTAATGGTGAGTGAAGGAGGCTACGGCCTCGAGAAGGGGTAAAAGTAACTCCTTCATGGCTCAGGGACCCTTCCCATCTCATCATCTTAGCCAGTCCCTCGATAGGAAAGCAATGAAAACTTCAACTGATTCAAACAAAAACCCTCCCCCCTCCCCTCCCCTCTCCAAGGAGGTGTGCTTTGTTCATTGCACTGTGGGCCTCTCTGCCCCGCCCCCCTCATGGCCCTGTGAGCTGAGCACTGCAGTCCATCCAGCCAAGGCCCTGCTCTTTATCGAGTGGAATCCTCTCCACACCCCCATTTTACCTCCCTGACCAAGGCTCAGTGAGATGGTGGAGCAGGACTTGGTGCAGGCCTGGCCCCATTCACTTGTAGCCTCAGCTCCGGACCTTACTTGTGAGGCGAAGGTCCTTACCCTCCGATGCAGGGCCCAGCCTGGGGCCGTGAGTCCCTAGGCGCTCCCCTATAACTCTTCCCAGGCGACTCTGAGGCCGCCTAGCCCTAGACCAGTGTTGGAGAAATATCCTTGAAAAGGTAGAAACCTCCCCATGAGTTAAGTGCTCCCGAGTGGGACCTGGAGCAGAGAACTCAGGCCCATGCCCACTGAGGCCAGGTGGGGGTGTGGCAGGGAGATAGCAGGTCCACTGGTGGAGAACAGCCTGGGGTGATCTCTGTACTGATAGGTTTTAAGCAAAGGAGGCTGTGAATTGTACTCTGTCTGCCCTGTGATATCTGAACAGGAGGGCAGAAGCAGTATGCATTGGGGGGCAGGGGAGGGGCGGGCACCGGGCTGGGGATGACACCAAGATGCTGCCTGAGGAATAGTTGGAGGAAGGTGCCAACCACAGGCCAGGGAACCCTGGTTCTAGGTCTTGGCCAAAGAAGCCTGAGAATTCCTCTCAAACTCTTGGCTGCAGGAGGGCCCAGGGTGTTCCTAGTCAGTGATGGAGGGAACTGACCCCTGCTGATCGCAGAGAGCCAGGCACCCTGCACTCACCTTGACCCCCACCCCCCCAGGAAGTATATGCAGGTTCCTGGAAGATTCCTGCCTGGGCTTAACTCCTCATCCCTTCCTAATGCTCTTAACCTAAAAACAAGAGGCTGCCCGGCCCTAATCCCTGAGCCTGAGGGGTGGAAGCTGTCCAGGTGGGCTGCTTTCCTTCCAGAAAGAAGGGCCAGCTGACAGGTCCCAGGACAGGGAGGCTAGAACCCCACGTCCCTCCCAGACAGCAGGCGATGGTGATGAGCCTCCACCTGGCACCACGAGGCATGGCCTGTCTCAGGGCTGCAGCTGTCGGGCTGCTCCTGCTCGTAAGAGCACTGGCCTGCTGACTCCCTGTCCTGCTCTCACCCGCAGGGGCCCCCCTGAGCCTCAGCCTCCTGTCTGTGGGCACCCTGGTTCCGTGGAGGCGGCTGGCAAGATCACTGAGACAGAGATCTGCTCATTTACCTCCTTGCCAGTGGGCACTGGGCTTGAGTCAGTTGGAAAGCAACCAGCAACAGCATGGCTTTAGAAATCGCCCAGTCACTCCTTCTCAGGGCGGCATCTCGTTAGACATTCAGGCAGAGGGCAGCTGGAAATCACAAACAACAAGTGGCTAAAAGGTCGTTACTTTACTCATCTGTTTGTAATCCGGAGAGGAAAATCAGCTTAAATGCCAAAACGCTATGTCAAATCCAACGGCTCCGAAGCAAACCGCGTAT